TAGAACCAATAGAACTGTATACGTGTGTACGAAAGTACATACATACGTACAGTACATTCGTATGTAATACCAGCGATGTGGTAATCATGATCCGCGAGGGAAATAAATTTCAGAAAACACTTCTATAAATAAAAATTTGAGTTTAGTAATGTTTTGCGTGGCATATGACATTCGAAAGATATACATAATCATGTGAGTTTAACAATTATTCCAAAAAAAATAAAGCCTATTGTTCTAAGTGGTACACAGTAAGCCATTGATTAATAACGCGGGTAATTCGTTGCCGCATCTGTATAACAGATAACAACCTTATGAAGAAAAAAAAAAGGACCTTTAATATGATAAATGTTAGTACCGGAAAAAGAACTCCAAAAAAGCATTTTGAAGCCCAGATCATTTACTGTATAAGATTAGATGTATATCTATATGCGCTCAAACAATGCATGCTAAAAAATGGTAGACTTTTAAGGCAAATTGATCTCCCATCAACTTTAGATGACGTTGTTTGGAAGAATAATAAGGAATAATTGTTATCCTACGATGGCCACATAACAAATCATTCCTTACACAAAAGTGCATATTCAAACGCCAAAATATGTAATAATGGCCGCGTTGATCGAATTTAATACGTACAGTACGACGTATATATTTGATAATGCAAACATGGAACATAAAGCTGTACGACTTAAATCGAACAACTAGAGAACGGTGCATACTTCACAAAGTTACTAAAAATGTCCATTATTGTAAGGAAAATCAAATTCAATTTTAAGAATCTTTACGCCAAAAAAAAAAAAAAATCGACAACCTCTTTGTCGGTGTTCATCGAGAAATCCTGTTTATTTTTTTTTCATCGTTACACATAGATCTTCATGTGACAATGGTTCGATTCAAACAATTGTAATAGGTTGAATAAATAAAAAGGTTTAATCAGAACATTTTTTTGAAATATCTATCGTATTTCTTTTCTCCTTGTATTCTTATTTATGTTTTCATCATTCTGCGTGCTGTATATAAATTAACTCAAAGATTATTGGTGAAAGACTGCATGCCTTCCTCTAACGAGAAAATTTGTCTACACCTTTTTTATATATCAACTTTGCATCAACCTGCGGGTGAATTTAATTTTGGTGATACGGTGGCATACTTTATTTCGTACATATATATATATTTTTTTCTTATATACGTCAGTTACTCTCTCTTTTTTTTTCTCCGATGCTTAATTTCGTTTTTTTTTTAAAAAAAAATAAATAATTAATTAATTAAAAATAAAGACTTGAGAATATCCACCTTAATTTTTATATCACTCGTTTGCTTGCCTGGTGGTTTGACTCTCAACTCTTAAAAGCCCCAGTTCTGCGCCAGCTCCAGAGACCTGGTACAAAGATCAGCTGACTGGTACGCGAATTTTTCGGCATGAAAATCATTAATGACTGCATAAATAATAATTAACTCCTATAAATTAATTATAAATAGTCCGGCTTTTCAAATGAATGATTTGTTCTCGTTCAATCTCTCCTTATCTACCGATGGAAAAACAAAAGAAGGTGTAGCATATAAAATCATCCTTCTTTATAGCCCCTATCGAGAGGTTAAGATGACCCTAAAAATAGTTCGAGTTAAATTATATGATTTTTTCCAATTGATGGTTAGATATTTGCATAAGAACTCTCGTTGCGGAACAACCTCTTCTTTAAATAGTAATTGGATTTCTTCTTCTGCATACATTAGTATGCAGAAGTATCGGTAATTATTTCTTTTAAAATTATTTTTTGAAAAATTTTTTAACCTTTTTATCATTAAGATATATTGAATTTTACGATCTAGTCCTATAGCATATATTGGTGGAATGACCTTAATAGCGTTTGTTTCCGTGTGGATTTTTATGCAAAAACATATATCTGAATGTGATTCGGATTCTGAAGATTCGAATAATTCGATCAATTCGAATAACTCTAAAAATTCGAATAATTTCAAAAATTCGCATGAAGTGTCCAAAAATGCCAAATATGGTGGGTTTTCTCCGATCCATCGGGAGAGAGTCACGAGCACCATCAGACGCAAAAAGGTAACCTCTCAAAATACCTCGAGGAGGTGTGAAGTTAAAAATGTTATCAACAATGTACAAAATAGAATTTCTATTACTCTTAATAAAATTAGATCAATTCAAATCGATGATGGTTAGTACTTGTGTAATTTTAAAATGTTTAAAATATTTAAATATTTTTGTTAATTTTTATTTTTTTTCATGTTTAGTTACCTGTGATTATGATGATTTAATGAACGTAGAATCACCATCATCATTATTTTTAAACGCCGCCTTCGAAACCGTTGAACAAGATAGATATGATCAAGATGTTTGTCTTGCGACTAAACTCGAAAAACAGATAGAATTAGAGAATGATGTCGAATTCATCCTTAATATGATTAAAGGATCAAAAGACTCTTATTCTAATGGTGAGAGTTGTTGGATTAGTAATAATTATTCCACGATCCCTGTGAATATTAACGACTCACAGAAATCTGGAAAAAAAGTAGTAACTTTTGCAACACTTGCATCAGATATCGAACAAGCGTCCCAACGTAGAATAATGAGAGATTTTGAAATACTTAAAGTTTTAAAACAAAAGAAAATCACCGAGGAAATTACCGAAGGAAGTTTAAAAAGTGCAATTGAGATTGTAAAAACACAATCTTCAGCAAGAGCTAGAAGCACAAGGCGATTAAAGCGACCACATAAGATGAGTTATGAGATCGATGATGTTAATAAAAAGTTCCTATATATTGATTCATGGAAGAAAGACATGATTGATAGGCTTAATGATTTAGAGTGCGAGTTTAATGCTTTAGAAGAAATGATCGATGATAATCGGATACTTACAGAGTCGTTTGAGGCAAAAAAAAATAAGGATGGTGAAGGTTGATTTGTATTATTATTTTTCTTAAATTATGTAGTAGGATTTTCTATTGCTTAATGTGATAGTTGTATATAAGTAATTAGTGGCACTTGATATAATAGCATTGTAAATAGTTGTATAACAATTTTACGATTCATGTTGGTTCTTACATTCATTTCATTCACTAGATTAGTTTCTTTCTTCGCATTGATTGTGTATATAGAATACATAGGCATTGCTAGCTAGCAATTGTATATAGACCAAGAGTCTGGATACTCTTTTTATATTATTATATTATTATTATTGTATAGTAATTTGGTTGTTTCGGTGGTTAATGGTAAATTTGAATAATAAAAATTCAAATAGGATATATATATTGTATATATTTCGAAAATTGGATTTTTTAAAATAGCATAACTTAATTTCAAATAACGCTATGAGCGTCTTGAAATAGCGCACACCCCATATAATCTATCGGTGGATTGTAATAGATAATTGATCCTTTATCTAGAAACGCGCGTGCAGGCGCGCGTTACTCGCAGTTTACATAATCACTAAAATTGTGCGATTATATTTAAAGGTAAACCTAGATATTGTACTCTGTATAATTCAAATCTAGCAGCCGAGGCAGGGTTCTGCAAGTGCCAGGAACGGTACTATTAAAATAATGCCTGTACCCGTGCCCTGCACTATTAAAGGATAGCTCCCTCTGTAGCTACCCCTTACGTCATATAAAAATTTGGTAGCTACTCCACTTATGGCCAGCAGTCTAAATGTATATAGATATAGAGTCAAGTAATCATGCCGAGATTGGCATTGTGACAGTCAGGACGGAAATATTAGTGCACAAGTGCCTGCCATTTTTTTTTTTTTATTATATCTTACGATGCCGGCGCCAGTGCCACAATTTTTTTTACATGCAGTATACTGTATATTATACGAAGACATTTAAAATCATCGATTTTTTGAATAGTTTATTTAATTTCTTAATACATAATGTTTTTTTATAAAATGAAATCCGAAACAACACGACGGATCACATTAGTTCGGATCATATGATAGAATGGCAAACTTTTTTTAAATGCTGCTACTGTATGTACTGTACCAATAAAAATTTTTTTATATTTAAATTATATAAATACCGATATATATATATATATATATATATATATATATATATATATATATATATATTATATATATATATATATATATATATATAAAAAATATATATATAATATACATATATATATATATACTATCTATATATATATATATATATATAAATATATATATAAATATATATATATAAATAATGTAAATATTACAATATATAATTTGATTTTTTATAATGATCTATATATATATTATATTTATTATAAATATTTAGTACTAAATATCCGGAAATAAAGTTAGAATGGTGAAATTGTGAAATTAATCTCACCAGCATTTGTAATCCGGAGCGTAACGTAACGGAGGACTCAATTTTTATGCAAAATAATACCAAAATTCTTGTGCATTTCGCAATAAATTATCAAAAAAGTAACTTTGAATTTTTTGTCTAATAATTCTTGATTTCACTCTGGACTTATAACGGTTTCCGTTTTCTAGTTTACAAATCATTTTAATAAGCGCGTGAAGCATAAGAATTGTTATAATAAATATAAACTTCATTTATTCCATCAGCATCACCCATTTCTGCAGATTTTTTAAAATATTCGAATGCCCTCTTTTCGTCTTTTTCGACTCCGATTCCTTGTTCATAACAATATCCAACATTAATTATTCCAACAGAATTATCTATCTCTGCTGACTTTTTAAATTATTCGAATGCTTTCTTTTCGTCTTTTTCGACCCCTATTCCTTCGAAATAACATAAGCATTACCCATCTCCGCAGATTTCTTAATATATTCGAATGCCTTCTTTTCGTTTTTGTTAACGCCGACACCAATACCATTCGAATGTTTAAGCGCAGCATGAATGAATTTTACAGCATCATCATAATCAATCACCTTGCTTATTACATAATCTTCTCGATAGCATCTTCCGACGTTAAATTCACCCTTAAAACCATACGAAGCAGCTTGCTGGAAATAAGGAAACGCATTACGCTCTTCTCGAACAACTCCTATCCCATATCGATAACAATACTGTATCCTACCATGTATGTTCCTTCAATCAATCCCATGTTCGAAGCTTTTTGATAATACTCAAAAGCCTGCCGCTCATCTTTTTTGATCCCAATCCCACTTTGAAAACAATAATCAACCTGGAAAATCCCAAGAGCACGACCTTCATTGGCAGCTTTTTTATAATAATCAAATGTTTTTTTTTTCATTCTTTTCAACTCCCAATCCATGTTGATAATTATAACCATTGTTATAATTTTTATATGATATTACACGAAAAGATTTCATTCTATTTTATAAAATTCTTTAGTGGGTTGTCTTATATATAATTCAGTGTTGGGCAAATTGGCGGTCGACCAAAAATTTACTGGTCAAACTGGTCTGGTCAAATTGGTCTGGTCCAATGGTCAAACTGGTCAACACTGAATATAATTATATAAGATTTCGTATAAAAATCAAAATGACTTTTTTACTTCAAATTTAAAATTACATATTTTATATAATTCGAAAATAGATATAGAAAAGGTAAAATTTATTCCATGATAAGAAATCTCAATAAGTATCATGCACGCATTTCGAGCACAAAGAAAATAAAACTTTCCATAAATCGACACAATAACGATAATACACCAGAGAAACGGAAGTTGGTTTTTTTCATGAACAATTCATGTTTTATAAATAATTGAATTATGAAGTTTATATTTATTATAACAATTCTTATGCTTCACGCGCTTATTAAAATG